GAATGTAGTTTGCAGTGGTTTTAAAATCTGTTTTGGGCTTGTGTACACAAGTATACTGAATGGTTCTCTAGTTCATGCAGAAATTGGTTATTTAAAAGTCCAAACGTGAGATAATAGCACTATTTATGTTTTCAGATGGATTATGGATGTTAAATATATAAACCTCATGATAGGAACAGATTTCAATTTTTAGTTCAAGTTAATTATGGCACAGTGATGCTTCTGAAGATGTATGATAACACTCTACTTCCAGTATCTGTTTTAGACTAGAACTGAATATTCTGGAGTATAACTTAAGTATTGTGGGGATCATGCTGGAAATATCACCACTGATATTTCCCTTCTCCCTTCATTCTATTTTTTGAGAATAAAAGAATTATACTAAATTACTAAATTACTAAATTTCTAATTTAGTAGTAAATTTAGTACTAAATTACTAATTGGTACTAAAGTAAAATATTATAAAGTACTCAATCCTTGAAATATTTCCAAGCTACTGTCTTGCAAAGATTGTATAGTAAATTGTATGCAGTTATATAGCCAACAAAAATTTGGATGTGTTGCAACCTGTCCTTGAAAAGTTTAACAGATTTGTGTACAAAGCTTGCCCAGTTACTTTGGCTGAGGCTAGGCTGTGGTTTTTTGGTACAGAATACAAGTTGTGTATTTCCCTGTCTTTACCAGCTCTTGTCTTTTCAGCCTCCATGTGGAATTATTCCTAAATGAGGACAGAATACTGTAGTGGCTGTGTTACACTTTGTTGATATTTAGGGCTTTTTGACAAAGCCAGTTCATCATTTTAGTAATGAAGCAAAAGTACTACCCAAGTAAAGGAGGTAGGTACTATGTTTCCTGGAGATTTGGGCAATCTTGGGTGTTTTTAAATTGTACTGACCCAATGCTTCTTCTTGTTTGCTGAGGGAACTAATGTCTCAGCTTCCTTGTTTTGTTCCATATGGGGCTTACCTGGGCAGAATCAAGTATCTGAAACTTAGCACGAACCCAATTTTGAATAGTTAAAGCCCTGCTTTTAAAGTATTATTTTGATATCTCATTGTCTACAATATGTAGGTATTCAGCACATGGTAGTAATTGTATTAAATATGCTTCGTCAGAAGTAAAGAACATATGAAGCATATTCTGTCACTTCTATAGTGAAATGTTGTTCTTTTGTGGAAGCATAGCTACATCTACAAGTTCACTGAGCACTTGTATTTTCATTGGTATTGGAGGAATCACCTGCTTCTTTTCCTGGAGTTAGAGCATCCTAATTCCATTTCATCAATTCTAACTCCTCTTCATGACCACTTACTTGAAAAAACATGCAGTGGAGCACAAAACAAAACCAGTCCCTTCACATAGAGAATTATCGGATCAAGGAAAGGGCTGGGTTAGATGGATACTGCCTCTAATAGAGCAATCAGGGACCGATTAAACATAGCGTGTGAATGTATGTGGCATAGATCTGACAAGTCTTGACTTTTTAAACATACAATAATGTTGGGAGATTTAGCTTTCTACATTAGGCATTTATTGGGCACTCTTGAATCCCCACTCACAGTACCATGCTTTGCATGCTTTACAATGTTGTCAAGGAACTCTACCATTCTTTGCAACCATTCATGAGCTTTTTTCTTTTTAGCGGAAGGAAACTCTTTTTTATTTGTGAATGGTAGCATGAAACTTTCATATATTTGTGTTATTCTGCCATATCACAGTGCTGCCTAGGGGTTGTATAATGGAACATATAAAGGGAGAGAGAAAAAACATGCATAAAGAAGCTGATCTGAATCCTGCAAAAAATCTGGAAGCCAAAACCTAGATAAAATGACAGGTTAGTCCTGTTGAGGTGTTCATTCTGCAGGGATATTCGGACTGCACTCATTTCCCCACTGATGAATCTCTTCCAGGGCCATATGGAACAACAATATATTTATATAGTGCTATCTGACACTAATCCAACAGTAACATATAGTGTTGCTAAATTCTTCACGGCTGTGATGGGTATCCGAAGACAGATCCTGGGGGAGTGGTGCTCTACCTAATTGGACAAGGACAAAGTCTGGGACTGTCACTGATTTAAGATGACTGATATTGTGTCAAAGTATTTATTAATCTGAGTGGAGTTTTAATATAGATAATCTTTTATTTATTTTCTTCTTTTTAAAATCTATATATGTATTGAATGGAGCTGGTCTTTGACCACAATCAAGTTTTTTATCTATCTAAAGTGACAGATTAAAAGTCAAATGTAGAAAAGCCTATTATGATTTAAATGGAGTAATAGAAGGGAAAAGGGAAGACTGTACTCATTCCATACCAGCTGTTTTTATGCATGGTACAGGTCCCCCTCAACTGATCTTATTCCATACCCTTTCCACCCCATGGAGTTTCAGATGAATATTTATTATTTTAAATTGATCAGTGGGATCATACTGTTGTTTGTATGTTTTAATTTTCTTGTTGGAAAATTGCTATTAGATTCTGAGGACAGTTGGTTGAAACATATCCAAAACAAAATTTTCTTTTAAAATCCTAATAATAATAGGAACTTTTTAATTCTGTGAACTACTATACTATTGGGGTGAATTATATGTTACATGAAATATTTGTGATTGGTTGGATACCCCATTTTTTCTTGTTTTAATGAAATGCAGCTGCAAAGGGCTGCCACTGATTCTACCAGATTTGGGATCGGAGGGATACTTTCTCGGCACCTCCTTAGTAATCAAACAAGCCCATTACTTGTCTGTGGGGTAAAATGCAATGGCTATATTTGATTGCGGAAAACTGCATGGAGAGGCAGAATGTTGATTGGGGAAAACTGCATGGAGAGGCAGAATGTTGATTGGGGAAAACTGCATGGAGAGGCAGAACATTTACTTCCCAGAACTAGTATTCCATTCAGATCCATCACTCCCCTACAGGAGCTGCTTTTCCTTTACAAAAAAAGTGACTAAATCCTTGGGCAACTGGCAGTTGATTTGGTCTTGCTCCTTCCCTCTGTTTTTGTATGAGTAAGAGGGATCCCTTCCTGCAACAGCAGGGCTGTCAGAAGGACCTGCATGCATAAATGCATCCTTTACCCAGCATTCATGTGAAGAAGCATGGGCCTGAAATATTTTGTTACATTTTCTATGGGTATGAATTACAGTGGAATGACCTTTCTCATCCTTGCTGAGGCAAGCAGGATTACTGTGCTTTTCGCATGGAAACAGGCAAAAGGAGGGGTGGTCAGATGACTTGTCATTGAAATGGTCGATACTAGTATTTTTTAGTAATGCCATTGGGAAGTTGGGGAGATTGTAATAGAAACCTTACTGACTTCTGGCGCCTACAAAACTGTATTGTTTTTCTTTAAAAAAAAAACGCTTAAATTAGTTTCAGGAGTCTTTCCCCTCCCCCCCCCATTTTTTATTTTTTTTTAGACCAAAAAACTCCATAAATACAATACATCATAACAATACTATAACATAACAAAAACACAATAATAAAAGGTAAATGATAAAGTGCCCCCACCACCCCAGAGACCAATGCTACCACCATTCTCATACTATAATGATTAATAATATATAATATACCTCAATTATTTCCAAATCCCCTACAGAGGTTCATATACTCTTGACTGGGTTTACAGCCTTTGCCTTCTATCGGTACTGCTTTTACAAAATCTTCCCAGATTTCATTATATTTATTTGCTTTCATTAATCCTCTTTTAATTTTTATTTCTGTCATCAGTTTATCATTAATTACTATTTCTATATTTCCTTATACCATTCATGCCTTTGCAAAACCCAATTTTGTTTCCAATATTTAACTATCACTAGCCTAACTGCGATTATCATACTTACAATCAATTCTTGCTTAGCTTCATTTATATCTTGTTTTTCTATCATCAGTAATAACACCATTCTTAGTCTATATCTAAAATTTCTCCAATTTCCTTAAATACCATAATCCAAATCTTTTATATGTTTTCACAATCCCACTAAATATGTTTATAAGTTCCGATCTCCAACATATATTAGAATATTTGTCATCAATTTGATTTAACTTAACTGGTATTAAATACCATCTCCATATCTCCCTGTATCCATGCTCTTTATTTTTAACTGACATATTCTTATATACTCTTCTGTTCCAAATATTCTTCCAATCCTTGTCTTTTATTTCACCTACATCCATTTCCCAAATTGATTTTAAACTTTTTGTCGGATCCCCTAACTCCATTAATATCCTATAGATTTTGGCAATTCTTCCTTTACTTGTATATTCTTCCTCAGTCTCACATTCTTTTATGATCATTTCAAATTTTGTTAATTGCCTTTCTTCCTCTTTAAATTTATCCTCCATCTTTACCCATTTTTCTAATTGAATTAAATTTATCCAATTTAAATTAACCTCTGGCAATATTCTCCTTAATTGTAATATATTTTTTATCTTATTTTTCCAGTCTTTCCATATATATATATGGTTATTTTTTAATTTAGTTTTCCAGTCCTTTAATTCTGTTTTTGGAAATTTCTCCATTTCGACCACTGGTGTTAGCAGAGAAATTCCTGGGATTAACTGTTGTCTCCATTTTTCCCATACTTCCATCGTATTTTTTAAAAAGGGATTTTGAATTCTTTTAATAATCTTTTTAATATCCTTTTTAAACTAATATGTCTCTAAATGATCACTTATTTCCCTTAATTCTTTTAATTCGATATTACTCCATATCAGTGCTTTTTTTTGTAAAAAAAAAAAAAAGGTGCCGGAACTCACGTCGCCACCAGCAGTAAGCACTCAGCGCGTGACCACACACACCAATCCCAAGCCAAGCAGCGTCCCAAGCCGGGCGGTGTGGACACAAAAGCGGCCCACAGGCACTATATTAATGATGTTTGCTGCTGACCTGCTACGCCGACAGGCGATTCAAAATCACTTTGTAAAATCCATTGGAAAAAAAGGTGCCGGAATGCTGTTCCGGTGCGTTCTGTGACAAAAAAAAGCCCTGCTCCATATTAATTCTTTATTTTGGGCTATAATATCTGGAACTATCTTTAATTGGTTTGCAACCCAATACTTTTTAACATCTGGAATGCCCAGCCCTCCTTTTTTTTGGTGATTCATACCATAAGTTTCAGGAGTCTTTATTATTTGGAGATGTATTAATATGTTTGTGTATACACACACATCTTTGAAGAGTCAGGATACCCAGAGTCTGTTCTAGTTAAGGTATATTTTGCCATAAAGGTCAGGTTGTTTTCCAGGGAAGAATGAATAAGATGGATGATGAATTCTGCTGGTGTAATGCAGTCTGGTTTGCGTTTGTGATTATTGGCCTTGTTCAAAAGGCTACAGTCTCTTACTTCTGGTTTCATGTTTATACCTATAAGATGTTCATAAGTTTTAACAATCTGTGTGAAAGAGTGAAGTTCAAAGGGCTTGTTTTGAAAACTGGTTGCTTATCTTCTCTGCACTGCTAAGGTTTGGTATATTCATAAGGGAGTGGTGCTGTTTCCACATCATTTCCACAGTAAAAGTGTTGCTGTGATTTTTATTTCAAAAGCTCTGTTTAGGAAGTGTGTAAGCTTGAATGGGTTTTGGGAAGTCAGCCTCATCCATTCGAAAGAGGAAGGCTCTTGCAACCCCGTCATCACATGTGTCTGAATAATTGACTGTAAACATCATCACTGTTCCTTGGTGTCTGAAGCAACGTTTCTCACACAACCCCGTTCTAAAACTGTATTGAGAAAGGGCCAAGAATTTGAGTCCTGTCATGAAGCAGTGGCTGTGCTATTTCCTTGGCCAGCAATTCCGTAAACACTCAAGAGCAGGTGGCACTTGCAGAAGCAGAACATTAGTGCAGTATACAAAATCACATGCTCTTTTCAGATGCTACAGGCCTTTTGCTGAACTGGCCTTGTCGGTGAGGTGCTATTTTCATGTTTTTGTTATACAATGAAAAGGGTGTAGGCAAGAGGGTATGTAGGGTGCTGGGTTATGGTGTGGATGTATTGCTTAGAAGCAATAAAATGAGACCTTAATTCTGTTTGCTCAGCATTTGAAACAGGAGACTATGTATTAGGGACTGCAGGGATCTCAACTGAGGATTTGTTGGAGTGATATCTAGTCTATTTCTAATTAAGTTGTTTGTTTGAACCCATGTACCTTGACTAAATGTTAAACATAATGAAAGATGAACATCATATGACATGGAACTGCCCTTTCAAGTCTTTTCTTTCAAGTCAATTGAGTTAATTTCTATGGGCATCAGTTTTCTCAATGCTTTACATACTATGGGTATTCATAGTTAATTTGAAAAAAATATGTAGGGTTTCATAGAAAGCATTTGCTTTTTGTTTTATTTCTTGTGTATTCCTGCTTCATGACCTATTGATTGATTGACCAAAAAAATCCCTAAGGTACATAGAGTTTTCAGTATTGTTTTGGGAAAAAATGTGGTTCTTTTGTTGTTGTTTTGAATGTAAATTAAATGAAGGTTACTCATTGAGTGTCCAGCATATGCACTTTAAAGTTAGAACCATCTATGTTATCATCCTAACATGTTCCATCCTTCTTGATTAATGTGCTTGTGAGGAGATGGCTGCTTAGGCTGGAATGTCCTTAATGCTTACCTGGAAGTAAGTCCTCTTGGGGGCTTATTTCTGAGTATAGAAGTAAGTATAGAATTGGGTGGCAAGTGTAGAATTGTGTGGCAAGAATCATTAATGAATGCTTCATTAATTATTGTTGTAAGTATCTTTTGTTATCTGACACTTGGTTTTAAGATTTCCCCCCATGCTGACAGCTTACATGTTTCTGTCAAATGCACAGGCATTTGCATTTGACTGTATGTAGTCAAAGGCCATTGTAATAGAATAATTATGTATAAGCAAAATTTAAAACACATGAGTTCAATAATAAAACAGAAAATATTATAAAATAAAATGCAAAGATCACCTTTACACACTGAACCATACTACTGTGGTGAATATAAGAAATAAGAAAGGAATGAGCCCTACATTATATACGAATTCTGTATTTATATATTAGAGCTATGGAAATTGAACAGGAGTGTTCTTAGCTGTCACAGCAGATAGGGCTATCTTGTTCCATCACGAAATTCTGCAATGTTTGGTCTGAATAGTGCTGAAATACATAGCAGATTTTTTCCCTTAGAGTCCAGATAAAAAAGGGCAAAATGACAAATAATCTTTTGCATTTACAATCTGCTTACAACCGGATAGATGTTTTTCTCTGCTAGTGGGAATTCCTAAGTGTTCCTTCTTTCTATCATTTTTGATCAGCTGAGATGGCCTTCTTGCTAATGCCATCTGTGTATCCCAAATGTTAACAGCAAGGGAATATTGTATGGTGTTCTTGTACCTCTGTTTGGGAATCCTTTTTCTCTTGAGGTGTGAGTACTTTCCAGAAGAAACTGCTTTGCTTGGACTGTCTTCCAGTGATTAGGATCAATGTTTTAAGGGGTAGGTGGTTTAGTGAATGTTTTAACTTAATTTTATTATACTTGTTGCTAAATTTCTAAGCTTCGCAAAGATTAGGGAAACTGTTGTCATCTCCCTGTTACTTTTGTTGTTCCTGTGAGGTTTTTAGTACTGACCACTATCTTTGGCAGGATGGAAGGTACACTGGATTTTGTTATCACTTGGCACTGCCTTGTTGGCCTTGATACCATTATTTGTGCACTTTGCAATTGCTTTTGCAGTGGGGGAGAGATTCAAATTCTCCTGTCTTCAAATACAATGTAGGTTTGTGCACTCAAATTCCAGTGAATCTTATAGGCATTTGAGTAGTCATAACACTGCAGAGGCATGTCAACTCTGTTGTTCACAAGTTGTTTTGTTCTACAATCTGAAAATGTGTTTTTCTGCCAGACAGGAAAGTGTCGGTGTGACTGGTAAGCAAGGTGGGAAAATGCAGCATGTACATTTTAAGTGTCCCTGAGCTCAGCAGTCTCAAACCATCTGTGGAGGGGGCAAGAGACTTGCTAAACAGCAGTCTTGGGTGACTACGGACTAAAATACTGCTAGTACACAGGTGAATTGTTGCTTTGGTTGGTGGTATTTGTGGATGTGTCTAGAAGAGCAAAGAGAGCAAGAAAAGAATCAGGGAGATTCTGGCTGAAGGCACTTCAAAAATTGAGTTCCTTTTATATGAAACTTCAGACTAGAATACAAAGCACTGGCTGCTTGCACAAAGATGTAAGTTTAGGTTTCATGGGATATAGAAGAGCAATGACTAAAGAGCATGTTATACAGCAATAAATCCAGAATTTATCTGTTGTTTGCAACATTAGATATATTGATCAGTAATTAGATATTAGTATAGTATTATGTATTTTATCAGTAATTTTAAAATAATGTTTATTAAGAAACTGTTAGGCTAAATTATATTGTATAATGTAACATACATGTTCATATTTGTATAAGTGAAATACAGTTCTATAATCTCATATTGTTTATCTGCAGGATTTTTATATAAAGGACTACTTTATCAGTATTTTTATCACCAAGCATTTAAAAGGATTGCCATGCCTTGATTACATTCTGATTGTCTGGCTATCTCAATATTTTTTTCTTTAAAGATTGTTAAAATTATGGTATTGTTGCAGGATATGCAGAATGGAAATTTCCAACATCAAAAAAGAATGGAAAGTTTTAACATTTCTTAACTAAAGTAGAAAGTAGTTTACTATTCTTTGACTTTAAAGCATCATGTTCCAGAATTTCCTTGATGGATTATTGTAGACAATAGTTTAAAAGGCATTTATCTTTTTATGGATGCCACGAAACATTCATACTTGGAGCACTTGGGTACCTAATTCTGAAAGGCAACTAAAGAAATAAGCTAGTTGTTTATTTGTTCCTTTTTATTATGCCTCTTTTTTAGTGCAGGGAGGTATATTTTGTATTTCTTGTAATTTGGCACAAGGTTTGCTTTTCAATGGAACTTTTTTCTAGCATTCCACTAGACCTTAGAGTTCATTAGCCTCTTCTTGGCACAAGGCTGGCTGATAGCCTGACCTTTAGGATTTGTTCTGTCAGGCAGCTTTTTCATCCTAGTAAGCTGCAGATGTGTTGGATTACAGTTCCCAGCATGCCCTGGCAGCTATAGAGTCTTCCATAATTATGATTGATCTGCATCTGAATAGGAAAAAAACATGATTTTCTCTCATTTAATGTCTAATCTGACAAAATGAACTGCAGCTTTTAAAATCAAACCTTATAGAAAATAGGTCTGCTAGATCATTTCCCTTTTCTCCTCACAATTTTAAATTGTTTCTCATATTCCATCTTAACTGCCTATAATTGCTAATGTGGCAATGCCTAGTAACCAAGGACAAAACTGCTTGGTTAGTTGGCCTGGCTGCTACCTCTGTTAATATGGAATAGAAAGTATCCTAGCTGAAGGTGTATTTGCTATGGAACTCATGGATGTATACCCTAATGCAGCCAGGTTAATGTTTTTGGTTCCATTGAAGTAGTTTGAGGCTGGTACTGAAACTATAGTTCAGAGTTCTGAACTGATGTAGTGGAACTGTGGATAATCTTAGAACAATTCTACTCTGTAGTTTTCAAATTCGCAGCCTCTCCACTAAAGTGGAAGTGATGGTGGGAAGTTGATCCTTTGACAGGCTGACAGAAGCACTTTATTATGTAAGCAGTCCACATTTGAGCAGTGGGGGGTTTGGAGACCCTTTTTCTGTTTTCTTTCTCTCAGATGCTTGCCAAGATGTTGTCTCTGCTATTGTTCCTGTGGCATGGATGGATGCTTGTTTCTGCTACCTGGAATGAATCTGCCATCCCTGTAAGGCTGTGGGCCTGTTCACCAAAAGGAAAAGTTGCTGAATCAAAGTTGCTATGCCGTATGCATGGATTGTATGCAAACAGATCCAACCATGCTGTGTTCCAGAACCTGTACATGTTCCATGCTGCCTCGGACTTGATCAGCTGTCACTGGAGAGACTTAGCCAATTGTACACTTAAGAGCAGCGGAGAAATTGGACATTTTTGTTATGACATGCAAAAAGATAATTTGAGTTTTCGCATACCTGTTTCTTGCCGACCTTTGCCTACACACTTGGACTCTCATTCAGTCAGAAGTAACTTCACCCAGGATAGTTTATGTGAAGTTGCCCTAATTTCTGCTGCTGTATGGAAACCTGGTGCACAGTTGCATGTAAGAGTAATTGTTGGGACTCAGAACATTAGGTTTCCTGGAGATCAGTTGCAGCTGTCTTTGATTTCACCTTCAGGAAATAACAGCACTTACCTAATTGTGAACTGGGAATTACAGGAGTGGGAATTAAAGGGAACTGACTTAATTAGACAAGGTCCACCAGATTGGGTAGTGCCAATCAGGGGAACATACTGTGAGCAGCACATGTCCTCAGTTAGGTTTCAATACTATGGGTATATTTCTATTACAGAGGAAATGAGTGAGCAAGGTTTGTATCGGGTGGAAATGGGTTCTCAAAACAAAACGGTTCTTAATTTTAACCCACTGATCATGAACCTTCTCCCACTACGTCATATGATGAACCCCATTGTTGGGTCTCATGTACTAAAACTGGATCAACCTGAGCAAATCGTCATGCACCCCCAGACCTCTCTGAAGGAGGTGCAGATTCATTTTGAGGGCTTAAATGTGTCACAGAGAGTGCCTCAATGTGCTCCCTTCCTTGGGGTCAGTCACAGAGGTTGGGTGGAATGGGTTAAAATGTGGGAAAGACCACACCAGGGGGGAAGAATTAAAAGGGAATTCAAAGATTGGCTTGGGCCCTTGGGAGCAGCAGTTTCCTTCATAGATGCTGCCAACATAGAAGTATTAGCTAATAAACTTTCATATTCCACAAAACAGATAGGGAAGTTGACTGCCCCATTAACTAAATCTTTCTTGCAACTTACAGAACATCCAAGAGCTATCAGTAAAGTGCTTCCAGTCTGGGAAGAAATGTTAGAAAATGACAGCATTATGATAGTGTCTGGAATTCAGTCCCTCCAGAACAATATTTCATTGGCTCTAGCGTGTGAACAGGCACAAGCAATCACACAGAATGTAGTCATGGGAATAATTCGAGAGGCTAAGGCAGGAAAAATTCCTATGGAGGTAACAAATTTAATTCGGCCAGAGCTTACCAAAGGTGAAATAGCTTTAGAGGCTTGGTGGAGGTTGCTAAATGCATCGTATGATTCCACTCAGAATATTTTGCGACTATTCTTAATCACAGTAGAAGCTACCCAGATTATTCCAATCTATCCAGTAGTTCCCTTGGGATTTCAGCTTGACAAGGATTTGGTCATGTATTCCAGAGACTTGAATAGGTGGGCACACATGAAGGATGGTGAGTGGCAAACAGTTAATGTGCAGGGTTGTGTAAAAAGGGAAAACTTGGGTTTTGTATGTGATGATAACAGTTTACAAGAACACCATGAATGCTTCTCCCCTCAACTTGTAAATAGTTCTATTTGCTCTTTTGATGTAATCCAAGAAGAAATGTCTACTGTTGTGTATACTGGGAAGGGGTGTATTTGTGTAAGAACCCCATGTGAGTTTGTTATCATTAATGGCCTAGTAATTCAACCAATGCTGCCTTATATTAATCGTTGTTTTTGCAATATTAGTGTGATTGTAGGATGTGATTTCCAATTTCGGGTACCTGTTTGGACTGTGAAACATATGAAGGCTTATCCTGCTTTGTATAGAGAAATTTCTCCTATTTCTCTTGGCCTTGGCCTTTCTACCCTGAAAAATCTGCTTTCTCATCCTTCCCTCAAGCAGGAATTGTTGAAACTCAGAAACATGGGTGAAAATGCTACTCTGGAGATTCACCACAGCAATCAAGAGATTGCCCAGATTGTAGCCACAGTTAAGTCAGCTGGAGACCATGCCTGGTGGGAAGTGCTTCTTGGATGGTCACCAAGTTCTAATGCTGTACTCAATATTGCCCTCCACCCAATTATAGTGATTTTAATCTTTCAAGTGGCACTGGTGATTGGTTTGTTGGTACTTGTTGGGTGGATGAAACGGCAAGCACACAGACTCCATGATCTAGAGGACCAGATACATGCTCCCAAAGCAAGGTTGTAAAGAAGATATTTACCAGAGCAAGACATTTTCTTGACATTCTCTGCTCTATCAACAGGGTAACTTTTTCTATATAACCTCTATTTTTGCCCCTTCCCAGCTCCACTTGGATTTTGTCTCTCAGTTTCCATCTTGTCTGTTCGTAGTTCTGGATTGCCTGCTTCCATATATCCCTAGCCACCCATTAAGATCGATCTGGGACGTTCCTCTTAAAGAACCATCTCCTAGAGAGGTGAGAGGGATGCTGGCTATCAGAAGGGCCTTCTTGACAGTGGCATGCCACCTCTGGAATAGGCTCTCCAAAGAGATGTGCCTGGTGCCATCATTCCTAGCATTTTGGCACCTGGCAAAGACTCACCTTTTCTGCAGTTATTTTAATTTTAAAGGCTATCTGATTTTAAAGTTGACCCCATGTTTGGTTTTAGTCAATTTTAGTTATATTGTTTGATTTAATGTTTGATATTATATTTTAATCTCAATATATTATCTCTCATATCTGGATTATGTTGTTAATATGCTTTGAATTATGTTGATATAATGTTATTGTTTTTAGAATGATGTGTTGTTTTTATATTGTGAGCCATGCAGAGAGCCCAGATATGGGTTATTGTAGAGGCATATACAATAAATGAATGAATGAATGTTGCTTAACTGGGAACTAAGGTAGCAGCTAATGATAAGGAAACTTGACTGCTAGGACTGGCTGCCATCCTCTTTTAACATGAAAATGAGTTAGCTCAGGGCACCTAACCCTAAGTGCCCTACGCTATTAAATTTTTGAACTTTGGGATGCACAAAAGCCCAAATCCCTTACAGTCAGGACAACACACTACTACTTACTGATAGTGACTAAAATTCTTCATGTTTAATGACCTTCCACCTAGTATCAAACACACTTATCCAGCCTCTAATGCTATTATTTTCAGAAAATGGCACCTGCTGCTTTTTTATCACTTTTTCCCCCACTCCCTTCCTTTCAGTGAATATTTTGGCTTTGAGTCTCCGAGACTGACCAGGTTCACATGAAATGATGGCAAATCATGGTTTGATCATCCCACAATTTGCTACTGTGTCTGTTGGGTGTATGCCATGGCTGTTTTGAATAGTAAAACCCCAATGGCACACATTCTGTGGCAAATCATGGACTAGTTATCCCATGCTTTGCTGCCATTTTGTGCGAAGAGGTGCCAGAACTGCTCTTGGACCCCTAAATTGCATTTTTATTTAGGAAGGAGACCTGCCATCTGCACTATCCAAATTATTCTTTCTCAATTCCTGCCTGTGTTTCTCCACAATGCAACCAGTTCTGTAGTCTGGGAACATTTATGCTCCTGAAATAGTTTTGTTGCTGTCTGAGTGGTTCCCTACCAAAGTCTGTAAGCCTGAATTTAACAAAGCTACTAAGGATCCTTCTCCTCTTCCTCTTTTTATGCACCTCAGCCAATTTACAGACAAAATTTCTAATTTTCTTTCCCCAGCTCCTTCCCATTTTCATCTTTGTGCTCCCTCTCTGCTTTGACACTGTTGCTTAGTCTTAGGCTTGCTACCACTTCCCTTTTTCAAAACTGTTGTGTCTGCAATAGCATTAAGTAACTTGACTGTAATTTGATCCTTGGTTAGGTTTTAATAAAAAATCCTATTTAATTAAATTTGTAAGATACTGATCTAAAAAAGGGAGTCAAATTGTCTTAACTTGAATTAAAACATGTAGAAATTTAAAGCTATTGATAATCCCAAACAACAGTTAACTACTGGTACCCAGTAATTAAATACCAGTACCCATACTGTCAAATGCCTGGGTGTAAAGGAAGGTTTAAAGTTGATGTTGAAAAGTGCTGATGCCAGATGGGCTTCAGCGGGGGGATCATTCCCCAGTCAGAAGCATCACTGAAAATACCTTCTCCCTTGTTTCAGTTCTGAGCTTCCTCAGAGGAGCACTTGGGATACTGCCTTAGGTGTTGACTGATGTTTATGGCTATGTTCATACAGTAAAAGCATTTCATCAAGTTTTATGAACCTGAGCCCTGTACAGAGTTATGTCAAAGTCAGCATCTTGAATTGGGCTCAGAAAAATATAGGTAACCAGTGTGAACAGGCCAGAATTGGCATTACATGCTGTTCCATTTTGCACAAGCTGCAGTTCTGAACCATCTTCAGTGGCACTTCCACCACCAAAAGCTGGTAAAATGTACTCTGCTCCACTCAGGCTGCCTAACCCTCAAGGGACAGCAATAACTCCTGAGGAAATCCCAAACCAGGAACCTGCTCCTTCAAGGGAAGTGCAGCCCTACCCACAACAGGCTGGAAACCCTGTACCTGGACACCATGTAGGTCAGAAGAACTACCCATTGACAACATTTGGTTCTTCATTAGATTGAATGCCAGGTTATTAATTCTCACCTAGCCCCTTGTCACAGCTAAATACCAGTTTTCAGGATTAAATCTGAAGGTCTCAACTGTTTTGCCTCTTGAGAATTCTGTGGAGACACTTTGAATAGAGTGGGAACACTCTGCTATCTGGACTAAATACTTCCAAATCACCTACATTTTGCTCTTGTTGAATTAGTTTTTGGGCTAACGTTATTGAACTGATTGATGATAATGACTGATAGCCTGTTCTCTGGCAGTAATAGATCACATGCTGCCAAGAAAATTATACCACTAGCTTAATTTCATGAGTTTCCAAGAGCTCACCTTCTAGGACACAGAAAATAGGTTCAAACATGAGTATTACAAGCAAGCATGGTAACAGGGATGATCAAACTCTCACCTTTTCGTTTTTCTTTTGTTTTCTTTTTTCTTTTGTTGTTGAAAAAGGAATGGTTGACTTTGCTGATGGTCCAGTAACACTAAAGAGAATCAGTGTAGGTGATAGCATAATACTAACACTAGTCCTCATTGGCTTTTAGAAATTCAGGTCAAGGCAACTCTCTTCCAGACAACTTTTGGTTAACTGGCTTGGTTCATTTGTTTCCACTGCTCTGGTCAACTTGCTGCTAATTTTTGTAAGATTCCTTAGAAATTAGATATATTTATTTAAAATATATTAGTTGTATTGGAAATTTTAACTAAAACAAGCTATAAATATCTGAATGGAATAAAATAGTCTTAGGCAGATGTCTAAAACCACTGAGGAGAACCTGCTAGGCATTACCACCCAGGATTCTATGTACTTGCTACTGTTGTTAGTTATTTTAGATTTAGCATATAGGCAAAATATTTGGCCAGGAGGTTTAGATCCTTACACTTCTATTTTAATATTTCAGTGTGTGAAATGATGGTCTAGAGGTAGTTATCCTCTGGATTCCTTCTGAAAGGAATACATTTCACAGGGGGTGTTCCTTTATTTTTCAAGTCTGCATGGTACTATAAGGACATTATTCATAGAGCATATGTTGAGATTCCATAATATAGCCCCACTGCTCTATGAATTTAATTGATTTCACTGGTCGGTAGTTTGCCTGTTCCTTTCAGATGTTTTATGATCTAATGTCCTTGGGAAGAGTTCCAGACGTTCTGGCTGTCTCTAGCAGTAGCATGCACTTAGCAATGCCTCCTGCGTTACAGCCTGTTGAAGCAGTATGAAGTCTTGTCTGTCAATGAGATATGCTTTGTCACCTGAGAAGGTCTGAGACTGTACAGGAGTGTTACTGCCATACATTGACCTGAAAATAATACACTTGGAAAAACAAAAATAAGAGTTTGAACTCTTCTTAGGCATAAAACAGTGTGTATATTCATTATCTATTGATACTTCGTTGTAAGGTCAGTTCTAGAAATAGGCTGCTGATATATTTGTGTACCCAGTGTTGATATAGTATACTAAACTGCTAATGTGTGCCCTCTCTTTTAACAGCCAAGAGTGAGAACAGGAATATTTGTCCTCCTATGATATTTGCTTCTCTGGAATCTAAAAAATCAAAACTCATTTTCAAGATTCTTAGTGCATACACAAAGTTGTACTTAAAAGATTTTCATCCAGCTCCACCTACCATATGGTGTCTTCTCTCTTTCCTTTGTGGCTGTACCAGGCAACCTGCGAATGATAGGAGTTGCAGTTCAACAAGGCTGCTGTAATGTGCTGATCAATTGTGAGCCATTAAGTCCTTCACTGAATGTTTCTGAAGTACAAGGTGCCGTCAGTTCATCGTATGTCCCTTCATTTGTGGTACAGGGCTAATAATGCTGTCATACTGTACATGTCTTTTGGAAAGGGTCATGCCTTCATTTATATGAAGTGCTTTGAATGCTTGATACATGCTTTATAAATGCAACATATTTGATTAATAGTTGTAACAAAAATATGCATTTTGGGGGAAGGAAAGGAAATGAGATCTGAATTATATTAGATTTGCCTAAACAGGCATATTTAATTGGAAGATTACCTGATAAAAATAAAATGCATGATATTGAATGTAATTCTGCAAGGCATAAAGGTCAATCCATACAGTGAGGAGCAAGTAGATAGTCATGTGACATGCTGCAGGATGTGTGTTTGTGTGAATTTTAAACAATTCAAAAAATGCAGGGATATAAAATCATGCAAAATGCTTAAAAGTGAATAAATTGTCAAAAACTATGTAAGGAAGACAGCAAATTGAATAGTAAGTTGTCTCACTGCAGTTAGTAGCACAAAGTGCATAAAACATTGTGTCAGTTGGATAGGGTCATCATCAATATCTGCTAATGCAGGATAGCAGATATTGACGGGAAATCCAAAGCACAGAAGCATAGCGAGTCAGAAGGTGTCTCATGGGCCATCTAGTCTGACCTTTGGCACAAACCAGCTCTACTCATATAATCCAAACCAGATCATATGAAATAATATGCAAGAGTAATGCAGAATATTTAGCTTAAGTATAATTCTTTATGCCTTGGGGAACAATCTTATGCATGTTTAGACAGAAAGAGTTCTGCAATTCCCAACTTGCCTGACCCAAGTCAAGTAGGATCTGTGTGGCTGGGGCTTTCTGGGAGTTTCTTGTCTAGGCATAGGATTACACCCTTTGTCTCCAATCAATACCATGACCTTTATAAGGCAACCTGCAATATAAAACTAGTACTATAGAGGATGTACATAGACTGTCTAATGTATATTGTTATACAACTGTTGTTTAGGCACATCATGGGCTTTTGCATATTGTTTCAGAACACTGAGTTCCTTGAACACTAATGGCTCTGAAATTATGATGGAGTGATCTTACTGAAGCTAAGCAGGTCAGGTCATGATATAAGTGTAAGAAATACCTTTTGTTTATCAGTTGCATATATATCCTGAATAGAAATAAAGCATTATGTAATATGTCACAGCTGAGAATAAGGACACTCTTATTTACTTGTAACATTCCTGTTCTCAGGTCAAGGTTTGCTGCTAGAGTGCTTCTACTCTTTAACACATTGGTAAAGGCTCTGTTCTGTCTACTTTATCATGTCATCATTGTCTTACACTGGCCTCTAAAGGTATATGTATTAGTAAACTGATTATTACAGTTGCCTTAAAAAAATCTCAATAGACTGTTTAATCCAGGAGTAGCAGCCTTTTCAGAGTCAAGAATTGCAGTTGCTTAGACAGAAATGGTCAGGGGCATCATACTGGTGGTAGCAGGCAGGGAAACCTCCCTCCCTCTCCTCTTATCTCAGTGTGCTGGGATGGGGAGACACCTACAGGTTGAGAACTTAGCACGTTCCCTACTTTTTCCGGCTCTAATTAGATGTGGGGTATGGAGAACACAATTTAAACGAAGAAGACGACATCAAGGGAAGGCTCATCCCACACAGTGTCTTCCATTTGGACTGGCAGGAATGTGATTGTGTGGCAGGGAACAGTGTTCAGGGAGAGGCGTCTTTGTAAGAAGTCTTTCTCAGCACAAATCTACTCTGGGAATGCCATCAAACTTGGGGAAGTAAGAACATATAATGGGCCACACAGAAAGCTTTCAAGAATTACTCACATGGTGTAATCTCACAATGGATATAGTTGTTCTTATAGAATAGTTGTAATGTATTCACATTCAGCAACATATAGTACTTGCATAGACATAATTACTGGAGGGTGTGGGTAGAAAGGAAAAGATTTCACCCTGGTGAGCATTTTTACATGTTTAATTTGTAAAGTCATCTCCAAAAGTTAAAATAAGGGAGTGTTTTACCAAGATCAGGTACCAAAAAAATAGGGACTGTTCCTGGTAAATAAAAATAATGAGCGTACATAACATGGTGATGAGAAATTGTCATATGAGGCAAAGAAATCATAAGAAAAGTGCTAAGAATTTCACATGAGAGAATCCCTGGGGGGGGGGGGACCTTATCCCTGAAACTATGAACTAGAACAGCCTCTTAAATATCTCTGTGAAGATGAGGATTAGAAGCTGCATGCTTGAAGAAACACCTTATGTTGGAGTTTATGTGCTTGACTACAGCACAATTTTCCATTTGCTGCATCTGCCTACCAGCCTTAGGTATAGTAAATAAATTATGTGGTTTAGCACAAAAAACATAAATAGGAAATGACAAGTAGGATCTGCAGCAAAATATTGTAGTATATCCTGACCTCCTAACACGAGTGTTCCTGTTCAGGCTTGTAGCCAACCATGCTCTCTTCCAGGAAAATTCATTCCTTTCCCAATCCTTTTCTATGTTTCTTTTCAAGCTAAAAGTTAATATTCTTGGCTACTGAGCATTCTCATTCCTCACTGGGCTGTTTTTGGGTGGTGCAGGTTGCCCCTTAAAATTCAAAGTTCTTTCAAGCATGCAGATACATTTCCTTTGTTTACCTGTGGCTCCATTTGGGTCCCGTCATGTTGGCATTTATCATATGATTTTGTTATTGGAGGGATTTATGAGATTGCACACCCAAAAATCAATTGTATATTTTTGCTTTGTAAATATCTTTAACCTTATAGGATTATCAATTTCTCAGCTTTCCTCTGCATCTGAACATCCTGCACAGATTTCTGCCCCCTTTTTTCTTTGCATGCCATATTTTTCTTCCCACAAGTTTTAGTCTCAGAGTAGAAAAAGTGCACTTGTCATTAATGATGTAGACAGGCCACAGTCAAACTGTTTTGCTAGACATTTATCAAACCTACAGGCAGTTTTTTGCAGTAAGGGGAGGATGCTCCATCTGGAGAGAGAAACAGTTGGCTGATTGCAGGAAGATTAACAAACGTGGCCCAATAAGGGCTCTTACAATGGCCTTACCCTGCAGCAAATTGAGAGATGTAACTTTCCTGGCATTTCATGGTGTGAAAAGCACAAGTACCTGCTTAAATTTGTATGACTATTCCTGCTAAAGACAAATGTTAGTACCAAAAATAGGATCAGGCTTTCTTCTAAGGGAAGGCCTTATTTAGGTTTGGACTGGAAATTGCATATATTTTAAATTATTATCATTTGCATATCACTCTAAACATATTGTGAATGAGGGCACAATCACAGCAAGAAGGCAGGTCAGGTCTGATCTACTGGGTTTGCTAAGGTCATTCAGGTTTAAGCTAGGAGATGGGCCAAATATCAAATATATCTTTGTTCAGGGTACAAGGAAGCAGAACAAGCGTGAATTAGTACAGAGAAGTGCTGAAACAGATAAGGTCCAAAGAGGAGGAGGACGATTCAAATGCACTGATGTCTGAAAAGTACTTATTGTCAGTCTAGCTCTTGTCATCCCTGACCATTGGCCATGCCGAATCAGGTTGGTGGAAGTTGGAGGACTGCAGGTTGCTAAACCTTGCTATATAAGCATTTTTTTGAGCTAAAGTTTTCAGAAAGGGTGCAACAAGTAAGGTGACTGTCTGACTAGATGAACAAAGTCTAGCATTTGTTCTGCATGCTCAGCTGTCTTACTCTCTTTAATAACTAGAGTCTACTTACTAGGTGAAGAGATCTAAGAAATGATAGTAGACAAGTGCCACAAATGCCTTCAGTTTCCATTTTCTCTTGTTCTCAATGAGAGAGAGAGAGAGAGAGAGAGAGAGAGAGAGAGAGAGAGAGAGAGAGGAAGGTGCAAGCATTTGTGACACATGGTGACACATGCTCACTGTCACTTCCTAGATCTATTTGTGTAGTTATTAAAGATAATATTCTATGTGCATTAAATTAGACAGCTGAGTATGTACAACAAGTGCTAGACACTATTCATGTAGTCAGGAAATAAAAACCCAAGGTTTGAGCATATGTAAGGTTTGCTTAGTTTGGCTGCTTCAGCTGTTCAGGTTAGACCAAACATACCAGGGAGGCAGTCCGTATGGGTGCACCTGCAGTTTATTTTGTCTTTTTACTGTTGCACATGCAGAGGAGCTGCTCCTGTGTGTTTTTTTAAAAAGACATTATGAGTTTCTTTGTGCTTCAGTTTCCTATCTGCCAAAAACATGGTACAGGAGAGAGGTAGACAGGAAACAAAGATCTCAGACAAAATAGGGGAGAAAAATGCTCTCAACACTAATGTTCTTAAATTAGACCTTGTTCTTTAATCATTACGTTGTTGGTATGGGCACAGCCTGATGGGAACGTGAATGAACCTCCCTGGAAAATTTAGGTATTGTGATCTCAATGCTGTTAGCTGCCAGTAGCAGAAAGCTTTCCTTTCCCACTCATTTTATAGTAATTGAAAAACTTCTTTCATGTTGTGTCCTTGGAGCCAACTACCAAAGTGCCTTACGGCACAATGCTCCTTTGTGTTTGTGCTGCTCTCTGCTTCCTTCACTCTATTTTGATTACTTACTATGGCTAACAGCTGCTTTCCTACTTGGTGTGTTAGTTCTGCTTAGGATGATGGCTGGTCTTGCTTTCATCTGCTAAAATGAGTGAGCTTTTAAGTGAGTACTAATTCCGCAGGAACCAAATCCCCCTGCCATCTTCGGAATGCAGAGGTGTTGCAAGCAAAACAGAGTTTATATGAATATAGAGGTTTCAATGATCTGGATAAAGTTTGCTTTGTTAAGATATAATGCTAACCACATGGAGCACTTGCAGCTTGATTTGAATGGAGCACTTGCACTCTGATCTGAAACTTCGAACTGAGAAGTAATTTGAACAGAATTTAATAAGACATCAAATGGGTATTATTGTATGTGATCTGGCTGATTTGAATAGCATATATTGCTGAACAGTATAAAGTGTAAGGCTGATATGTTTCATAACTGTGCCATTATAAAGGGCTGGAGGTGCTTTCAGACAGATGGTTGCTGACACTACCAGTCAAAAGATACTTTGGTAGCTATTCCATTTTTACTCCTTAGTAGACTTTTTATGGTAAGAAAAAAGACAGAAGTAAATAGTAAATATACAGAGTAAATATACAAATGGAAAATGACTGTGATTGAAGCAGAGTGTTTGTATGATGAAAACCTTGTCTGGAAGTATGATCAGGTTAGAAATGAGAACTTTTTTGTTGTTGTTATGTGCTGTCAAATTGTCTTCAACTTATAGCAGCCCCAAGAATGAATGCCCTCTAAAATTTACTAGCCTTGACAGCCTGATCAGCTCTGTAAATTCAAGTCTGTGGCTTCTTTGATGTAGTCCAGTCCATTTTCTATTTGGGCTCCTTTTCTTCTGCCTTTAATTTTCCTTAGTGTGATTGTCTTTTCCAGTGAGTCTTGACTTCTTATGATGTGCCCAAAGTATGACAGCTTCAGTTTTGCTATTTTTCCTTCTAGGTTGTGGCTTGTTCATCTAGGACCCACTTGTTCATCTTTATATGAGTCTGGGGTATTTGCAAAGCTCTCCTCCAGCACCATGTTTTGAATGCATCACTTCCTGTCGGCTTTCTTCACTGTCCAGCTTTCACACCCATACATAGTTATCGAGAATACAATAGTATGATTGTTTTTGACTTTGATATCCTTACACCTGATTATCTTTTCTAGTTCCTTTATTGTGGCCCTTCCAAGTTTCAGTACTCTTCAAATTTCTTAGCTACATCTGCCATTTGAATTGATGACAGAGCCAAAGTATGCAAAATCTTTCACAGTTTCTATTTCTTCATAGTGAAATTATATAATTCTTTTGTAGTCATGATTTTGGTTTTCATAATGTTCAGCTGCAGTTCTGCGTTTGCACTTTGTTTTTTCATTTTCATCAGGAATCATTGCAGCTCACTGCTGCTTTCTGCCAGTAAGATGGTTATCTTAAATTATCCATGTGTCTTCTGTTGATTTTCACTCCTTCCTCCTCTGATTCTAATCCAACTTTCCTTATGATAAGCTCTGCATACAGATTGAATAGCTAGGGAAATAAAATCCACCTTTGTCTGATGCCTGTGCCTATAGGAAACCATTCTGTTACTCTTCTGTCCTCACAGTAACTTCT